GGGGGGGAAAGAACCAAGCAGGGGATTTGCGGTGAGAGAGAGGCTCAAGGTCGGGTTCAGTGAGGCTGACGTGGTGGCACCTAGGTAAGGCAGGTAGTCCAAGATAGGTGTAGGGTACGAGGTGCAAGGTCCTACCTAGTTTATGGAGATGGGTAGGTAGGTACTCTCCCTTGGAGTTGGCAGGCAAAGCTAGGTGGCAAGGGTTGGGGCAGGCAAGCTTTGAGCCCGCGGGACCTAAACCCAAGCGAGCCGGCCCTGGGCCCGAAGGGGAACGAGACTGGGACCAGACGGGTTCTGCCAGCGACACAACTGCCTGATCTGAGGGTTCGTGTAAATGGAGACTGGACCGCTTAGTGACCACATCCCGATCCATCCCCTCAATCGCGCCGGCATCAGACATAACCTGTTGAAATACCCAAGCATTTCAACGTGGCTGGGCGTTATCACCGTCCTCTCAGCCCTGGATCCTACAACCATCCACGACCACACAAACCCATCTAAATTACAGCCCGGCGGGGAAACCCTCCACTCACACCTCGCCCAATGTCCAACAGCGGACCCGGGCCCGGCGGCGGCGGCGGCAGTAGTAGCGGCGCGCAACAGGGCGCCGGGTATCACCAACACCAACACCAACACCAACAACACCAACACCACGACTACTACAGCCCCCACAGCCACCACCACCATCACGACTCCTCCTACCACCCGGACCAGCAGAGGCAGTACGACACCCGCCGCCCGCCCGGGCCGCCGTCCACCAGCGCCCCGGACTTCACGCCCGAGATGCGGGACCGCCAGGCCAGGGGCAAGGACCCGGACGGGCCCGACCCGGGCCCCTTTGCCTTTAGCCGGGTCGCACAGTCGAGGATGGCGCTGGGTTTTATAGGGTGGGTGTTTTTTTCCCCCATCTCCATCAATCCAGGCGTGGCATGCTAGCTGTGTCATGCATGGAGTGAAGGATCCCGTTTAGCCGGGCGATAGTAGTAGTGGTGTATATGTGTGTATACACGTGTGAATATATGCCGTATGCGTTCATGCTCTCTAACACGCCCGCCGCCGCCGCCCCCAGATTCGAAACGGAGCCGTTCGAGAAGGCCCAGAGGCGCGAGAAGGCGGCCGCCATACTCGACAACCCGGAGCTGCTGATGGTCTACGCTCAGCGGGCAGGCGACGTACGTCACAAGCTCTTCTTTTTTTTCCCTTTTTTTCCTTATGCTTTCAATCTTTTTATGTTTTTTTTTTTTAAAAAAAAAAACTAACATCGATTCCTGCCCTTTTGCACTCCACTCACTCCCCCTCAACAGAGCATCCCCGCGACCCGCATGCGCTTCATGCGCATCATGTGCGGCTACGACGACGGCGGAGATGGCGACTATCACCACCGGGACGGCGGTCGTGCCGCCGCCGGCGGGTCCTGGCCGCCCAGCAGGAGCGAGAGCGGCGGCAGCAGCCGCCACAACTCTGCCGGGAGGTAGAGATGGGAGA